GGGTGGATGAAACATGAAGTACTGGGTGGATGAAACATGAAGTACTGGGTGGATGAAACATGAAGTACTGGGTGGATGAAACATGAAGTACTGGGTGGATGAAACATGAAGTACTGGGTGGATGAAACATGAAGTTACGGGTGGATGAAACATGAAGTACTGGGTGGATGAAACATGAAGTAAATGGGTGGATGAAACATGAAGTACTGGGTGGATGAAACATGAAGTACTGGGTAGATGAAACATGAAGTACTAGGTGGATGAAACATGAAGTACTGGGTGGATGAAACATGAAGTACTGGGTGGATGAAACATGAAGTACTGGGTGGATGAAACATGAAGTACTGGGTGGATGAAACATGAAGTACTGGGTGGATGAAACATGAAGTACTGGGTGGATGAAACATGAAGTACTGGGTAGATGAAACATGAAGTACTAGGTGGATGAAACATGAAGTACTAGGTAGATGAAACATGAAGTACTGGGTGGATGAAACATGAAGTACTGGGTGGATGAAACATGAAGTACTGGGTGATGAAACATGAAGTACTGGGTGATGAAACATGAAGTACTGGTGGATGAAACATGAAGTACTGGGTGGATGAAACATGAAGTACTGGGTGGATGAAACATGAAGTACTAGGTAGATGAAACATGAAGTACTGGGTGGATGAAACATGAAGTACTGGGTAGATGAAACATGAAGTACTAGGTAGATGAAACATGAAGTACTGGGTAGATGAAACATGAAGTACTGGGTGGATGAAACATGAAGTACTGGGTAGATGAAACATGAAGTACTGGGTAGATGAAACATGAAGTACTGGGTGGATGAAACATGAAGTACTGGGTGGATGAAACATGAAGTACTGGGTGGATGAAACATGAAGTACTGGGTGGATGAAAACATGAGTCAGTAACTGGGTAGATGAAACATGAAGTACTGGGTGATGAAACATGAGTACTGGGTAGATGAAACATGAAGTACTGGGTAGATGAAACATGAAGTACTGGGTGGATGAAACATGAAGTACTGGGTAGATGAAACATGAAGTACTGGGTAGATGAAACATGAAGTACTGGGTAGATGAAACATGAAGTACTGGGTGGATGAAACATGAAGTACTGGGTAGATGAAACATGAAGTACTGGGTGGATGAACATGAAGTACTGGTAGATGAAACATGAAGTACTGGGTAGATGAAACATGAAGTACTGGGTAGATGAAACATGAAGTACTGGGTAGATGAAACATGAAGTACTGGGTAGATGAAACATGAAGTACTGGGTAGATGAAACATGAAGTACTGGGTAGATGAAACAGAATACAGGTGAAGAAACATGAGTACTGGTAGATGAAACATGAAGTACTGGGTGGATGAAACATGAAGTACTGGGTAGATGAAACATGAAGTACTGGGTAGATGAAACATGAAGTACTGGGTAGATGAAACAAAGCAAAATTTCACTCTAAACAATATAGAATGTGACCTGGATACCACAAAGACAAACTCTCCTCCTTCAAGGAAAGGAGGGCTCGTATAGGGCTCTTCATTCAGAGAACTCCAGTTATACTACTTTTCCTAAGATCAAATTTAATCACCTCTTATTCCTCAGGCGCTGTGTGAACCCTGCATGGGTTTAGCGCTTCCCCGTTAACGGAAGATGGTACCTTTCAGGGACCATATTGGGCCAACCATGTTTGTAATCTCCATCGGTAACAATAACATCATCAAATATGTAGATGGAATTCAGCTCTCTCAGGATATTGCTTCTATGAGAACTGACCAACAAGAGCGTTTTAAACCAAAAAGATTGCGCGAAGATTTTTAAGATAGTCACAAATGCAATATCCTATATGCGGAGAACAACAACGTATATCACAGTTACTATGATAAGTAAACTTCTAGCTAACTGTCCGCTTGTACGCCCTCAGCGTGACCAGCCGATTTAGTACGAACGCTATCATCAAGAACAGCCTCAGGACCACAGGACTAACAGCTCATCAAACAAGTCTGAGGACCATATGACTGACAACTCTGTGTGTGTAGAGTGCATACATTTTTATGTCGCCGCTTCGGTATGCCTTAAAAGTTCTTTGACTCTGGTATCTAAGTCTAGTATTTATGTAAGTGAAACCTCGAGAGACTTCGATAACAATGACAAAGAACATAACGCATGCCAAACCCTAAAATGCCTGCACTATACACAGAAACACCGAGAACCTTGTATATATATAAACTTCCCGAAGGCAAGACCGGTCATCAAGGAAAGTGACCGTCGCAGCATATCATGTACAGAATTATAAGGAATAGCGATAACCAACAACATTAATTAAAACTTAAGACCATTCACAATCTCCGAAGTTAAGAGAGGCTTATTCTCCAAGCACCTAATACGGTGATCACTCTAACGTCACTCCGCTGGTTACTCACACATGACTATTCTTTCACCTCAGGACCTCTCTTAACCAGACCCACAAAATGTGATCAGCCTCGAGGGAACCTTCACCAAATTCAACTTCAATAACAAAAACATACGGTGGGACCAAGTCAATCAGGTCCTAAATGATATAAACTGGGAAGACAGCCAAGCAACACGGATCCAAACCTATGCCTAGATCAAATTAACTTTGTGGCACTCGAGGTATGCTCAAGGCATATTCCTTTAACGAAAAGGAAGAGAAGATGTAAACTAGAAAGAGAAAGGCGCTCCCTACAGGCGAAGGCTAAGAATAACAGAGCGGCTAAAAGAGGTCAATATATCTGTAATATGTAGGGAGACACTGGTCAGAGAAATAGCAAGCATCGAAATAAAGCTAAAGGAATGTTACCGGAGTCAAGAAACGCGGGGGGGAGTCGAAGACTTAAAGTATTTTTTTATGAGACAGGCACAGAATATGGTAGACTCAAACCTATCTGATATTATCCTGATGCCAAATGACTTCCAAAAGGCGATAAATGATATGCCCATGAACTCTGCCCAGGCCCAGAATCATGGAACTCCGTGTTCATCAAGAACTGCAAGAAGCCCCTATCATGTGCTTTTTAACATTCTATGGAGAGAGAGCATGGACACAGGTGTCGTCCCACAGCTGCTAAAAGCAACAGACATAGCCCCACTCCACAAAGAGGGCAGTAAAGCAATAAAGAACTACAGACCGACAGCACTAACGTCCCATATCATAAAAATCTTTGAAAGCGTTCTAAGAAGCAAGATCGCTACCCATCTAGATTCCCATCAGTTACACAACCCAGGGTAACATGGGCTTAGAGCAGGTCGCTCCTGTCTGTCCCAACTATTGGACCACTATGACAAGGTCCTGGATGCTCTAAAAGACAAACAAAACGCAGATATAGTATACACGGATTTTGCAGAAGCCTTTGACAAGTGTGACCTTGGCGTAATAGCGCACAAAATGCGTGATAAAGGAATAACAGGAAAAGCTGGTAGGCGGATCTATAATTTCCTCACAAATAGAACACAAATAGTAGTAAACAGAGTAAAGTCCGAAGCAGCTTCGGTGAAAAGCTCTGTTCTACAAGGCACAGTACTCGCTCCCATCCTGTTCCTCATCCTCATATCTGACATTGACAGAGATGTAAGCCACAGCACCGTGTCTTCCTTTGCCGATGACACCTGAATTTGCATGACAGCGTCCTCCACGGAAGACACCGCAAGACTCCAGGCGGGCATCAACTAAATCTTTAAATGGGCCGCAGAAAATATGAGGTTCAATGATGAGAAATTTCAATTACTCCGATATGGAAAACGTGAGGAAATTAAAACTACATCGGAGTATAAAACAAATTCCAACCACACAATAGAGCGAAAAACTAACGTAAAAGACCTGGGAGTGATCATGTCAGAGGATCTCACCTTCAAAGACCATAACATTATTTCAATTGCATCTGCTAGAAAACATGACAGGATGGATGATGATTACTTCAAAACTAGGTATGCCAAGCCCATGATGACACTCTTCAGGTCACTTGTTCTATCTAGGCTGGAATATTGCTGCACACTAACATCACCTTTCAAGGCAAGTGAAATTACTGACCTAAAAAGTGTACAGAGAACCTTCATGGCACACATAACTGCGATAAAACAACTCAATTACTGGGAACGCTTGAAGTTCCTCAACGTGTACTCCCTAGAACGCAGGTGGGAGAGATACATGATTATATGCACTTGGAAAATCCTAGAGGAGTTGGTACCAAAATTGCACACGTAAATCACTCTCTATGAAAGCAAAAGATTCGGCAGACGATGCAACATTCTCCCCCAACGAAAAGCAGAGGTGCCACTAGCACGATAAGAAACAATACAGTAAGTGTCAGGGGCCCAAGACTGTTCAACTGCCTCACAGCATACATAAGGGGGATTACCAATAGACCCCTGGCTGTCTTCAAGAAGGCGCTGGACAGGCACCTAGAGTCAGTACCTCACCAGCCGGGCTGTGGTTCGTACGTAGGGTTGCGTGCGGCCAGCAGTACCAGCCTGATTGATCAGGCCCTGATCCACCATGAGGTCTGGTCACAGACCGGGCCGCAGGGGCATTGTCCCCCGAAACCCTCTCCAGGTATACCCTCTAAATGTACCCACCTCTTTTTCTGTGTGAAATGATAGTCCTTGTCATTGTCTTAGGTCAAGAAATCATGTGGCCATCAGGTATATACAAAGTCAAGAGATATTTTAGCAGTCAGGTATATACAGGTTAAACAATGATTCCCACAATTTTCGGCAGACATCAGCATCTCTTAAGAAACCGGCCGTATCCCACCGAGGCAGGGTGGGCCAAAAAGAAAAACAAAAGTTTCTCTTTTTAACTTCAGTAATGTATACAAGAGAAGGGGTTAATGGCCCCTTGCTCCCGGCATTTTAGTCGCCTCCTACGACACGGATGGTTTCGACAAACATGTGATTACATACTAAATCCAACTTTTACAAAAAAAAAATCCACTAATTGGAAAATGAATGAAATCTGTGTGGTGCTTACTGTGTCGACTGGTGAGAAGTCGGTGCAGTTGTCTTTACTGAAACACTGCCTAAACTCGAGACTAACCCGGGGCTTTGGGAACCCATTAGCCTCGCAAGTCAAAGGCACCCTCTTCTGGAACTTGTACATGAAGCTTGGTTCGTATATTGTAAGTAATACATCCCTGGGAACTTCTGTTAAAAAAAAAAAGATGTTTAATTTCCAGTTAATTTTTTGGTCCATATTCACATGCTAAATCAAGGTGCGAAATAAAAAAAATAAAGAGTTACATAACAAACATTTAAGGAAATAAAGAACCCCAGAGCAATTAGCAATTATTAGGTCACATATTGGATTTCTGTCATTATTATTTATTATAATTTTCATATTATAGTATTGTGCACCTGTTTGTTCTTTTAACTCGACAGATTCTGACTGATTCAATGAGTCATCTGCGTAACATTAATCCTATAAAATAAAGCAATGAAGCAAGTGCTTGGTAAGTCTGGAACTGATCTTCATCCTGTCGTGCTGAATAGGTGAAACTTGCGATTTTGGCTTAAATAGCAACGCTTTTCTTGCCGAATAAGGCAAGCGAAAATTTGTGTATGCAATAATTTCGCAAAAATCATTCTGAACCTAACGAGAAAAATATACGTATTTCACTGTGTTTGTTTATTATTAAATTATTGTAAACTTATCTAAAATATATTTAGTTGTTTTAGGCTAAATTAAATTACGCTTGTTATAATAAGGTTAGATAAGTTTTCTAATTTTTTTTGGTACAAAATTATTGATTTTTACATTAACATAAATGAAAAAACATATATCTTTAAACGTATAATAGAAAATTTTAGACTTAATTTTAAATGAGTTCTTGCTAACTGACCAGTTTTATCTATTCGGCACGATATATATAATATATATATATATATAATTGACCTTAAGCAATATTGATAAATTAGACACATGTGCAACACTTGGGTATCTATAATGAGGAAACGTTTCGCCACACAGTGGCTTCATCAGTCCATACAAAGGAGAATGGTAAAGAACAGGAGGAGTTTGAGTTATCAGTCCCTCAGCCTTGAGTCGATGTGGACAGTCCAGCATTCTTGTCAGTATTGATGGACTGACCCCATCGACTCAAGGCTGAGGGACTGATTACCTCAAACTCCTCCTGTGCTTCACCATTCTCCTTTGTATGGACTTATGAAGCCACTGTGTAGCGAAACGTTTCCTCATTATAGATACCTAAGTGTTGCACATGTGTCTAATTTATAAACCTGTCGGTTCTCTGAACCATTCATCTACTTAAGTGGTATTGATGAATTAAAAGAAAGTATGTGATATTACCGGAGACATAGGTGAGACTAACCTGGTGAAGTGAAGTACATTTGTATGTTGTCTGATGCGACTGTTGTGCCGTTCTTGAGGATCTTGCCGATGAGAGAGTACTGTCCTATATCGTCAATACCTGGCTGATTAATTGTCAGATGCATTTTGCCTTCTTCCCTAATGTGGTCAAGTTTATAACGCCTATTCCCGTCTATTTTGGTTGTGTCGAGAAGCTCTTGACCTGTAGGAAATATGACAAGGCGTACATGTTATTCTGGAATAAAGCTAAAAATACTCAGTTTAGCATAAAAACAAATAATTCTCACATAGTAAGACAAGATGTGGGGAAAATTCTTAGGTACACACCTCGACTCCAACCTGAAATTCATCACTCACATCCAACTTATATTTAAGAAAGGTTCCAAAACTGCGAGCATTCTATTAATAATATCCTACATTCCTCAAATATTACTCACTCTATACTACTCAGTAATCTATCCCTATAACTCGTGGTATTTATGCATGGGGATGACTCACGAAATCGTAATGACACGATGGCAAACAAACCATACTACGGGCGGGGATAGAACCCGCGATCAGAGGGTTCTATCCCCGCCCGTGGTATGGTTTGGTATGCATTGGGATCTACAACAACAAATCACGTAAAACCTATTGTTACTCAGCAGAAATCAATTATCAGAATAATCAAAACATGTTTCATACTATTCAAGTCTTAACTTAATCACCTTACAAATCATTCACAGAAACTGTTGTGCGTTCTGTATACAGCAGGTAGTTTAATATCTTTGTTATGGACCTTCATACCCACGCTATGGACGGTAGATAAAAGACTGCAGAGGTACATAATGGGTCCAGGAACTGGGCAGCCAAGTTTTGAGAGCTCAACAACTTGCAGTGGTAATGAACTATTTACTTGTCTATATCTGTTTACAATCGTAACGAATTATTTATGTAAACATGAATTAGGTCACAAAATATTACAAAATATATTACCTTATATTTTAGCAAGGCATGCTTGTAAAAAAGTTAAAGTGGTTATTCATTATGAACAGTAGAAGTCAGTGTGTTTTTCCAGAATGGGTGGTAATATGCGACTTTATAAAATATTAACATTTCTGAGCAAGTTGTTTCCGAATTCAGTGATCTTATCGCATTTCAGCACACAATGACGCAAGGTGTGAAAACTGTCCATCTGGCAAAGTTTACATTTATTTTTTTTTCAACATCACCTGGTGGTGGTGATTTAACCTCCCAGAGATATTTGTAATCCAGCAAGAGCCGGGCGGTACATCCAAGAGTCTGCTTATTTTGTTGGATGTACCATAGGTACAAAGCTCCTCCTGCATGACAGAATGGTGATAGGTAGACTAGCTTCAGTAAGTCTCCCTCAATCTCAAGTCAATGAAGTTCACTTATAGTTCATGTAGTGTTATTGTTCCCAAACTGCTGACAGCCCAAGATTGTGCTTTACTCTTTTTTTTATTTTTTGAGACATATGCCTTTACAATTCATCCATTTTATCGTACTTCTGAGATGTGAGATGGAATCCACAGGTGTACTCTGACTTCGCTTTCCACAATCCTACCATACCTGTGTCTGGCTACTAAGACAAGCATGCTACAACTGATACGCAAGGAGTTAACAGTATTTACGGATGATAAAAATCAGTTACAATTAAGGTGTCAGCGTTTGATACGTGGAAGCAATTGAGTGCAGTTTGAAGGGTAGGCGCCATAATGTTTACGTGTGCTCTAATTTCTATAAGAGAACCATCACTTTGTATGACTACAGCAAAACTACCAGCTGCACCAGTGGTTTGGTGAACACAACCATCAACCTACATAATTTGTGAAAGAGGGTTTTGTGTGACTAAATCATCAATACAGCTTAAAACGCTAATATATATATATATATATATATATATAATATATATATATATATATATATAATATATATATATATATATATATATATAATATATATATATATATATGCACACACATATGCAAGACAAGCCACTGGGAAGTGGGGGAGGTGGAAATCTGTAGCTCAAGTACTTTCACACTTCTCAGTGCATCATCAAGAGTAAGCAATTTTGGAATAGTAGTAACTAACGAAGTGAAGGGAATTTTTTTCAGAATACGGTAGCGTGGGCTAATAACAAAGAATAACAAGAAAAAGAGAATGTACCAGAGTATAGTGGTACCAACACTGATGTATGAGTGTGAAGCGTGGGTTGTGAATGTTGCAGAGAGGAGGAGGATAGAGATAATACAGATGTGTTTGAAGGCAATGTGTATTGTGAATATTATGCAGAGAATTCAAAGTTTGGAGATACGGATGTTTAGAGTTACTACAAGTATTATTAAGAGACCTGAGGATGGGTTGTTTAGGTGGTATGTACATTTACAGAGGATGACGCAAAACAGGATGACTAAGAGGGCATGAAAAGTTGAGGGTGGCGGGGAAGAAGAGGTGGGGGTCGTCTTGGGAAAGGTTGGAGGAAGGAGGTAAAAGAGGTTTTGAGTGAGAAGGACTTTGACATCCGACAAGAGTGCGTGTGTTAGGAGTGGAGGCAAATCATTTTTATGATTTGACATGTTGTTGGCATATAAGCAAAGTAACATTTGTGACGGGATTCAGGGAAATCGGTTAGCAAGACATGAGTCTTGGAGGTGGGAAGTACAGTGGAACCCCAGATTTCTTCCTCAATCCGTTCCAGAGGTCGGTCTAAATCCAAAATGTACGAAAACCGAAGCAATATTTCCCATAAGAAATAATGTAAATACAATTAATTCGTTCTAAACACCCAAAAAATATTAACAAAAAATACATTTTTTAAAGAATAACTATGGTTTTACATTCAGAAAACAATGAGAAATACAAATGACTAATGAAATGGATAAATGAACATTTAACATCACATTTACCCTTACTAAAGACTCTTGTTGGGGTATGGACGGTGAGGAGGGGAGAGGGAGGGGGAGCAGAGGTTATTGTTAGGAAGGGGAAACCCACTCCATAAGGACTTCAGGTATTAAAGCCCTATCCGGGGTTACTTCCCTTCTTTATCTTTTACTGGCACTGGACCCCTGTCGCACTAAAAATCTGTCCAGAGAGCTCTGTTTCTGGTGTCTCTTTAAGATTTGCCTAAAATGGGACAAGGTATTGTCACTGAACCTGTTGCAGATATGGCTTGTATCAGCTTGGTCAGGGTGATATTTTTCCAGAAAAGTTTGCACCTCATTCCATTTTGCACAAATGTCCTTAATCACCCCTTTTGCAACATCAGCTTCCTTGACTTTTACTTTCTTTCCAGGAAGGAACTGATTGTTGATTTGGACTTGCCATACATCCTGGCGAGCTTGGCCACACGTACAATACTTTCATATTTTTCTACAATCTCTTTCTTGAGTTCTATCGTGTTTCTCACCTTCTTTACCAAAGGGCTGGCACTAGGAACTTTCTTTGGGCCCATGGTGGCTTATTTCGCAGTCACACTCAATAAACAAGCACCAAAAACAATGGATTATTATGAAAGGTTTTGGATGAATGCTCGCTCAACCAGTGACAGAGCCAGACTGAGACACAGTATGCATGAGTGGCAGCGTCCTAGGCGGGAGAACGTGTCTGATACGGACGATTTCTGAGACGAGGTACGAGATCTGGAGCAAAATTTCGCCGAAAAAAGTGGTCGAAATCCGAATCGTGCGATATCCAGTGCTGACAAAATCCAGGGTTCCACTGTACAGTGCCTGCACTGTGAAGGAGGGAAGGGGATATTGTAGTTTGGAGGGCCATATAACCTGTAATGTCAGCACGATTCTGGCAAGACAGTGAATGAGTTACAGTGAATGCATTTTTTTTCTTTGTCGGGTCACCTTACACAGGTAGGAGATGGCAAGAGTTAAAGAAAAAAACCCACCATTTCCCACTTATGTAGGGTGACTCATTGTCTTGCCGGAAGTGCGTCGACGTTACAGTTCAGATGACCTTCCAAACTGTAACATCTCCATCCCTCCTTCAGAGTGTGAGCACTGTACTTCCCACCTCGAGCCTGGCCCATGTCCGGGCTCAGACAGTATATAAACTCTCGAAACTCTTCAAAGGTTCAAAGGTATATCTAGGACTCAAGTCCGGCTAACCGGACTTTTTATATTTAGAAACGTTAAACCCGTAGGGGAAATACAGTGCCTGAGGTAATGAGGTTAGGTCCAAGAAAGGGGAGGATAGGTTCTGTTAAGATAAGATAAGAATTCGTTCGGATTTTTAACCTCGGAGGGTTAGCCACCCAGGATAACCCAAGAAAGTCAGTGCGTCATCAAGGACTGGCTGTCTTATTTCCATTGGGGTCCTCAATCTTGTCCTCCAGGATGCGACCCACATCAGTCGACTAACACTGCTGCTAAGTGAAAAGGCAACAGGCGTAAGGAAACGCGTCGAAATGTTTCTACCCCGCCGGGATTCGAACCCGGGCCCTCCATGTGTGAAGCGAGAGCTTTGGCCACCAGGCCACCGGGGCCATAAGGAAAGATTTGTTTTACTAGTAACCCAGGATAACTAAAGAAAGCCAAGCAGTGTGGCTTATTTTCCCCAGGCCTTAAGAGCATCTTCCCCAGAATGAGAATTAAAACAGCCGACTACCTCACATGCATTTGCCTGCCATACGTCTAATTTACCCAGAATTCAAACACAAGCTCTTCTTGTTGTGAACCGAACATTCTACTGGTGAAGTTCACAATATAAAATATTTCGAAGTGAAATGGAAATTGCGTGCATTGGTTTACCTTCCTTAAACCACGTGAATTGTGGCTCTGGATACGCCCGGAAGAACACTGTCCAAGAAATAGAACTCTGAATTTGAGTGATGTTGGGATGGTCGATTCTCAGCTTCACGTGTGCACAGTCTTTGCCTGAAGAACGTAATATACATTAGAATAGTCATAAATGCAATGGCTGGTGCTCTAGTGTGTACCATCAACTGTCCTGCTCTAGTGTGTACCATCAACTGTCCTGTTCTAGTGTGTACCATCAACTGTCCTGCTGTAGACTGGGTTAGGTAAGGTTTGTCAGGAAACAGAACAAGTGTCTCCTGACGCGGGTCTTAGTCAGATGACGACCCGCCATTGGAGCTTTTGATCATCTGACCGAAGCCTTCTGCTTATTTACCGGTCCACCCCTTGAAAAATTACGGTCATGGTTATAACCAGTTTATGTCCTGCTCTAGTGTGTACCATGAACTGTCCTCGTCTACACACTGAAGCTGACTTCAGAACTACCTTTCCACATACGTCATAGTTAATGTAATAAAATACTGCTGTACATGTATTTAGCTTCGTACCTATGACATTGAGGACTATTGTGTAGGGTTGTGACTCTTTTTGTCTAGATTTTACTATACACTTGTATTCTCCAGAGTCCACCTTGGGATCAGCTTTGACTATCTTCTGAGTTCGTGTCACCAAAGAGTTGGTCTCAGTCACCCGGTACACTCTATGGTTACCTGTCTGTAAAAGGAGAGAAGACAGACTGAGGAAGTTGCACTTATTTTATAGTGTTAATATTTTTAAACTTGAATTACGTACATTTTTGCAAGCTCGAGATTAAAGTGGATTGTTGCTTTAGATTTAAAATTTTAAGTTTAAAGAATGGATGGTGCCTGGATGATGACTAATAAACTTACCCTGAATACAGATAAAACATATTTCATTCAGTTTGGAAACAAAGCTGCAAATCATTCAATTAACATAACGCTAAATGGATCATCAGTCACAAGACTCACAGAGGGAAAATTCCTAGGTATCCACCTTGACAGTAGCCTTAAGTTCCAGACACACATACAACAAATCACCAAGAAAATCTCTATGACTGTAGGTATACTATCAAAGATAAGGTACTACGTTCCACAATCAGCTCTCCTGGCACTGTACCATTCACTCATATACCCTTACCTCACCTACGGAATTTGTGTACGGGGATCAACAACATTCAATCACCTAAGACATCTAATAACCCAGCAAAAGGCAGTAGTCAGAATGATAACAAATTCCCACTCCCGCCAGCATACTCCACTAACTTTCAAAAGTCTGAATCTGCTCACCATTAAGAACATCCATACTTATTCATGTGCCTACTACATACACAGAACAATACACGCAAATAAAAACCCTCCACTTAAACTTCTCCTCACCAACCTTAACAGGACACATGACCATAACACAAGACACAGATCTCTTTTTGATATACCTCGTGTCCACATAACTGTGTAAAATCTCTGTGCACATAAAGGGCCCCAAAATTTGGAATTCATTACCAGAAGATACTAAAGTAACCCGGTCTGAAAATCAATTTAAGATTCTTCTCAAAAGCCACTTAATCACCCTAGACTAAATGCTAAATATTCAGTACACACATACTCACTTATGTTATTCCCACATCATAATTTTTACAATTACTTTGAACCTTTTATCCATTGTTGACAGGAATATAATTAAATCATTGTTTTCACAAAAGCATTTTTTGAATATATGAATATATCTTTTGTCTTATATAAATTAGAGTCACTTATAATTAATAACCTACTGTACAACTATGATATAATTAATATTCTACTGTACAGCTATGACATAATTCTTAGTGTTAAGTAGTCTGTAAGTCAATAATGTTAAGTCGGCCCATAATGCCTGAGCATAATAGAGGCTCTCTTTGCATTGCAACCCATTATTGTAAATATAAAATGTCAATGTACTATTTGCAAAGACATAAATAAATAAATAAATAAATAAAATAAATAAATATTCACGGGAGGTGCTAAATCTGTAGGGGGCACAAAGCCTCTAGAGAACAGGAAGTAATCAAGTTTTATCCATGAAATGGAGGGGCAGCTCTAAGTCCGTAAAAGAAGAGCTTTTCAACGGCATAAAACACACATTTTAAATGGGTAAACTGTTGTTATTAATACGCATGGTAGGTAAGACACTCTTGGACATTGCTCGTACTCCTGAAAACTCCAAGGGGAATCGCCTACATGGTGTTAAGAGTTCTTGATCCAAGGAACCGAAGCTCCACCTCTCTTAATCAAACCTGATTAAGAGTTTAGCGTTTCCCCATGAATATACTTGTGTTCCTCACCTCGTTTTTTATGTGGTCTGGTATGATCCAATCTAGAGATTTATGTCCTGACATTGTCGAGAGTTCGTAGGTGCAAGTGAGGTTAACGGATTCTCCTTCAATCACGTCGTAGTGTTCCCTGCCGTCGTCAACTAGGTGGTTCTCCTGCCAGGCGTCATGTAACTCCACGGAGGGTCGCTTCAACACCTCGTCACGAGCTGCAACAGCACCAGGTGGAGACCATGTTGGAATCAGTCAGGTGCAGACACACACAAAAGGTTGATGTACCAAGGATATAAAGGAACAGAATTGATGTACCAAGAATATAAAGGAATAGAATTGATGTACCAAGGATATAAAGGAACAGGATTAATGCACCAATGATATAAAGGAACAGAATTGAGTACAAAGATTTAAGGAAACGTATTGATATCCCAAGGAAAAAAGGCCAGGATTGATGTCCCAGAATTTAAAGGACCAGCACTGATGTACCAAGGATATAAATGAACAGAATTGATGTAACAAGGATGTAAAGGACCAGGATTGATGTGCTAAGGATATAAAGGACCAGGATTGATGTCCCAAAGGATATAAAGAACCGGATTGTTTTTTGAAGGATATAAAAAAAACGGATTGATGTAGAAAGGATGTAAAGGAATTTAGGAAAAAAAAAAAAAATTTGTCACATCCGGTAATGTTTAAAAACAAATTTTTTCACTTTTAAGTGAATAGTTTTTTAATTTACTACAAAATTTTCGGTAGTTTTTATAAGAGTAGACTTAAAATGTTGAAGGTTGTGTGTGTGTGTGTGTGTGTGGTGTGTGTGGTGTGTGTGTGTGTGTGTGTTGGGAGTGTGTGTGGTGTGTGTGTGTGTGGTGTGTGTGTGTGTGTGTGTGTGTGTGTGGTGTGTGTGTTTTTGTGTGTGTGTGTGTGTGTGTGTGTGTTTCACAGCTTCAACACAAAGAATATCATGTTATTAATGGTATACAAGTTATCTGAAACACTTACGTATCTTTTCTACCGAAACGTTCCGTTTGTACAAGAGGCTTCGATAATAAAGATTCCAAAGTGTTGCAAATGTGTTTTGTTGATCAACTCAAAATATCACGTGACATACACAGACACACGGTATACAAGCACATGTGCATAAGCGATTTACACACTATATAAAAAAAGGGAAACAAAAGCAGTTATTCAAGAGCCGAAGTTAAATAGAGGGAAAATTTATGGAATCAATAATTGCCGAGGCAGTTCGTAGCCACCTTGAAAAGCATAAATTAATCAACGAATCTCAGCATGGTTTTACAAAGGGGCGTTCCTGCCTTACGAATTTATTAGCTTTTTTCACTAAGGTATTTGAGGAGGTAGATCATGGTAATGAATATGATATTGTGTATATGGACTTCAGTAAGGCTTTTGACAGGGTCCCACATCAGAGACTATTGAGGAAAATTAAAGCACATGGAATAGGAGGAGAAACTTTTTCCTGGATAGAGGCATGGTTGACAAATAGGCAGCAGAGAGTTTGCATAAATGGGGAGAAATCAGAGTGGGGAAGCGTCACGAGCGGTGTTCCACAGGGGTCAGTGTTGGGCCCCCTGTTTGTTCACAATCTACATAACGACATAGATGGGCATAAAGAGCGACATCGGCAAGTTTGCCGTGACACCAAAAATAGGCCGTCGAATTCATTCTGACGAGGACATTCGAGCACTCCAGGGAAGATTTGAATAGACTGATGCAGTGGTCGGAGAAGTGGTAGTTGCAGTTTAATATAGACAAATTTCAAAGTTCTAAATGTTGAACAGGACAATAACCATGCCACATTAAACTAAAAAATGTAGATCTTAATATTACGGATTGCGAAAAAGATTTAGGAGTTCTGGTTAGCAGTAATCTGAAACCAAGACAACAGTGCATAAGTGTTCGCAATTTAAAACTAATAGAATCCTTGGCTTCATATCAAGAAGCATAAATAATAGGAGTCCCCAGGTTGTTCTTCAACTCTATACATCATTGGTTAGGCCTCATTTAGATTATGCTGACAGTTTTGGTCACCGTATTACAGAATGGATATAAATTCTCTGGAAAATGTACAAAGGAGGATGACAAAGTTGATCCCCTGTATCAGAACCTTCCCTATGAGGATAGACTAAGGGCCCTGAATCTGCACTCTCTAGAAAGACGTGAATTAGGGGGGATATGATTTAGGTGTATAAATGGAAGACAGGAATAAAAAAAGGGGATGTAAACAGTGTGCTGAAAATATCTAGCCTAGACAGGACGCAGCAATGGTTTTAAGTTGGAAAAATTCAGATTCAGGAAGGATATAGGGAAAAAACTGGTTTGGTAATAGAGTTGTGGATGAGTGGAACAAAAATCCCGAGTACAGTTATAGAGGCCAGAAACGTTGTGTAGCTTTTAAAATAGGTTGGATAAATACATGAGTGGATGTGGGTGGGTGTGAGTTGGACCTGATAGCTTGAGCTACCAGGTCGGTTGCCGTGTTCCTCCCTTAAGTCAATGTGACCTGACCTGACTAGGTTGGGTGCATTGGCTTAAGCCGGTAGGAGACTTGGACCTGCCTCGCATGGGCCAGTAGGCCTTCTGCAGTGTTCCTTCGTTCTTATGTTCTTATGTTCTAACCCACTAGAGGAAACAAAGAACCCAAAAGGGTTCTTTCAGGTATACAGAAGTAAGATTAGGGACAAGATTGGCCCACTTAGAGTAACTCTGGTCAGATCACTGATAGTGATAAGGATATGTGTGAAATACTAAATACCTACTTCCTCTCAGTTTTCACCCAGGAAAATACTAGCGAGATTCCTGAAATAAGAGATTACGTAGAACAGGACGATAATAAACTATGTACGATAGCGGTAACTAGTGACATGGTCCTCAGACAAATAGAGAAACTAAAACCTAACAAATCCCCAGGCCCTGATGAACTGTTTGCAAGGGTGTTAAAGCTAACAGAATTCTTGGCTTCATATCTAGAAGTATAAATAATAGAAGTCCTCAGATTGTTCTTCAACTCTATATATCCTTGGTTAGGCCTCATTTAGACTATGCTGCTCAGTTCTGGTCACCGTATTACAGAATGGATATAAATGCTCTGGAAAACGTACAAAGGAGGATGACAAAGATGATCCCATGTATCAGAAATCTTCCCTATGAGGATAGACTGAGGGCCCTGAATCTGCCCTCTCTCGAAAGGCGTAGAATTAGGGGGGATATGATCGAGGTGTATAAATGGAAAACAGGAATAAATAAAGGGGATGTAAATAGTGTGCTGAAAATTTTCAGCTAAGACAGGATTCGCAGCAATGGTTTCAAGTTGGAAAAATTCAGATTCAGGAAGGATATAGGAAAGCACTGGTTTGGTAATAGAGTTGTGGATGAGTGGAACAAACTCCCGAGTACAGTTATTGAGGCTAAAACGTTGTGTAGTTTTAAAAATAGGTTAGATAAATACATGAGTGGGTGTGGGTGGGTGTGAGTTGGACCTGACTAGCTTTGCTGCTGGGTCTGGTACAGTGCTCCATCCTTGAGTGGGAATGACCAGACTGGGTGGGTCATTGGGATAATCCGGGGGGTGGGTCATTGGTCTAATCCGGGGGGGGACATGGACCTGCTCCGCGTGGGTCAGTAGGCCTGTCGCTGTGTTCCTTCTTTCTTATGTTCTTATGTTCTTATATCTTCGGCCCTCAAGTTGATGATACATTTGGAGGATAACTGCCACAAACTACAAGACTTGAACTAACTACAACACGATACAATAAGTGGAATGAGAAGTTATCCATTCACCCAGCCCGATTTGGAAGAATCACCCGCAACTGTCACCCACTGAAAAGTTGCCAATGACCATCACCCGCTGGGTGTCAGTTATCCTGCTGTTGCCAAGGGACAGGTGACCGCACTGCTATCAACTACCTGAAGTGACCTCACTTCATCTGCCAGCTCCTACCCCCAACATGTTGCTCCTGGGGGATTTCAATTTGAGGCACCTAAAATGGAGGAATATAGCAAATAATGTTGTTGCAGTGATAACACCAGGAGGCAGCTCTGACGAGAACTCACATACACACACGAGCTTTTAAATCTCTGCACAAAATTCAACTTAAACCAGCAAATAATAGAGCCTACTAGACTGGAGAATACACTAGACCTCATCTTCACTAACAATGATGGTCTGATACGAAATGTCACCATATCAAAAACAATATACTCAGATCACAACATAATCGAGGTTCAGACATGTATGCGCGGAGCCCCAGACCGACAAAATGAGATTAGTCACGAGGGAGCCTTCACCAAATTCAACTTCAACAACAAAAACATAAAGTGGGACCAAGTAAACCAAGTCGTAAACGATATAAGCTGGGAAGATAGACTAAGCAACACAGGCCCCAACTTATGCCTAGAACAGATTAACTCGGTGGCACTCGACATATGCTCAAGGCTTATTCCTTTAAGAAAAAGGAGGAGTAGATGTAAAATAGAAAGAGACAGGCACTCCCTTTACAGGCGATGGAAAAGAATAACAGAGCGGCTAAAAGAGGCCAATATATCGGAAATGTTAGGTAAGACACATATGCAACAGTTAGGTATCTTTATTTTGAAACGTTTCGCCTACACAGTAGGCTTCTTCAGTCGAGTACAGAAAAGTTGATAGAAGCAGAAGATACTTGAAGACGATGTAATCAGTCCATCACCCTTAAAGTTTTGAGGTGGTCAGTCCCTCAGTCTGGAGAAGAGCATTGTTCCGTTGTCTGAAACAATATTGTTTCAGACAACGGAACAATGCTCTTCTCCAGACTGAGGGACTGACCACCTCAAAAACTTTAAGGGTGATGGACTGATTACATCGTCTTCAAGTATCTTCTGCTTCTATCAACTTTTCTGTACTCGACTGAAGAAGCCTACTGTGTAGGCGAAACGTTTCAAAATAAAGATACCTAACTGTTGCATATGTGTCTTACCTAACAATCTGTCGGTATTTTATACCATTTTAATGTTCATATCGGAAATGCGTAGGGAGTCACTGGTCAGAGAAATAACAAACATCGAACTTAAGCTAAAGATATCTTATAGGAGTCAGGAATCGTGAGATGAACTAAAAGCCATAAATGAAATCGAAAGAAACCCAAAGTATTTATTTTCTTTGTAGATGAATGGTTCAGAGAACCGACATGTTGATAAATTAGACACATGTGCA